CATTTATACCCATTTGCAGGTTGAGTGGTTTCTTTTATAGTCTTCTGCGTGCTTCCTTATTGCCAAAAAAATCACAAAACCATACAAACATACTCACATATGCATGCACACCCAAATTCGGTTGGATAAGGTAAAAATAAGCTAGTTGTGCATCCATTCGATTTTAACCGAAGAAAATATTCTGTAGAATAAACACCTTAAGGAGTTAGCTTTAACGATCCTTTTGTTAAAAAGTTTGCAAAATTTTTTGAAGCTTCTTCGCTAAATTCGAATAATTGTGCTAAAAACAAAAAATAAGTCCTTTTTCATCTATTAGAAGCAGAACCGAATATTCTAAAAGAAATTTCTGAAGGAAAAAATGGCGAATTTTTGCGTTGTTTGACCGAGGTTACATAACCTAACTCCACGGTTAGACTCCAACAAGTGCAGTAGGAATTTTTTATTTGACTGAAATATGCCTAAGCAAATTTGCTTAATTACTCCGTTTAGGACAAAGTGGAGTTCCTGTTGGTAGTAGGTCTGTGTTATGAACGTGAGCTGACTTACAATCACATCGAACTTGGCGTAGATATCGATCATCTTGTTCTCCTCATCGACTACTGGCAAAGCGGAGACACGCTTCTCGATAAACAGACTAAGTGCACGATGAATGGGCCAGATGGCCTGAACCGTGGCCACGCCTTTTCGGGTACCTAAATTTAGTTCGGCCAGCGTCTTTGTCATAAATGAGGGCTGAGGGAGCTCTGGCATCTGTAGTGGATTAGAAACAAGGGTAAAAAGAAAACAGGCAAAATATCAGGCTTTGAAGGCAATATGTTATGCAAATAGGCAAATATATCCATATAGCTGAGGCCGAAATTATGACATATGTGGCGGTGACAAGAGAAGCATAAGAGATCAATATATTAAAACCTAGCTAGTACTTAATTAGTGGTAAGTTGAATTTGCCATTTTAACTGAAACAGTGCTACCTATTGGTAAGTGTTGATATGAAATCTTTATGAGCGCAAGCTCAAAAGTAATTTTATTGCGAGTATTAAGGAATACAAAAAGTTGAATTTATAAGTGGTCTCAGGATCTCTGATGCGTTTTATTGATTGCTTAATATACAGGAAAAGTCTGAGGCCTGGAAATGGAAATGCGGTCTAATTTGCATAAACAAGGAGATACGATGTGAACCAGAATAAAAATGTAGAATTATCCAGTGATAATAAAGAATAGAGGACCCACCAATTATTGCTTTATGAAAATAACGGAAAATATGAACATTAAAAGAAATCTTAGTTTGATAGTTGGTCGTGCACTAAATTCCTTGCTTGCATGTAGGAGCCTACGAATGAGATAATAGACTTACAGATAAAAGGCCAACATTTTTTTACCATCCAAAGTATTTTTTAACAGCAATAAAATACTTAGCATTGAAATATTTATATATTGCATTCACTATACTTATAAAAACAATTTTCAAAGCTTATTTAAGGAGGTGCAAACAAGAGGTATTTATAATGATTAAAAAAGATTTTACTCAAAAACTGAAGCAATGGGGTCTTTAATGTAATGCAAACTTAAGCTTTGGGTCGAGTCATTCATAAGCAGGCTGTACGTTTGTCCTAATCTACCCACAATAATAAACGGACATAATGCTGCATGAAGATGTTACTTTTCGTCTATTTGAAAATGGCTTAAATCTCACGATATCAGAGGAATCGTAAACTTATCATTTCTGGTATTATATTCTTAATCAAAAATAACATCTGAGGCATATAAAAACCATCTTAGTGATTGTGAATAAGAAAAGTTGTCAGAATTTGCAAAAT